TAACACAACAACACAGTTTTATGGTTGTTTATCAGTTTCTTTTTCCCTGTCAGTAACATAGTGGTAGGGGTTTCTCAGTTCCCTTTGTCGTGTCAGTAGCACAGTAACACAGTGGTAGAGTTTTTCAGTTCACTTTGTCCTGTCAGTAACTCAACAACACAGTGGCAGAGTTTCTCAGTTCTCTATGTCCTGTCAGTAACACAACAACACAGCGGAAGAGTTTCTCAGTTCACTTTGTTCTGTAAGTAACTTAACAACACAGCGGTAGAGTTTGTCAGTTCCCTTTGACCTGTCAGTAACTCAACAACACAGTGGTGAAGTTTCTCAGTTCTTTTTTTCCCTGTCAGAATCTCATCAATACAGTGGTAGGGTTTCTCAGTTCCCTATGTCCTGTCAGTAACTCAACAACACAGTGGTGAAGTTTGTCAGTTCCCTTTTCCATGTCATAAACTCAACAACACAGTGGTAAAGTTTCTCAGTTCCCTTTGTCCTGTCAGTAACTCAACAACACAGTGATAGAATTTCTCAGCTCCCTTTGTCCTGTCAGTAACTCAACAATACAATGTTAGAATTTGTCATTTCCCTATGTCCTTTCAGGAACTCAATAACATAGTGGTAGAGTTTTTCTGTTCTCTATGTCCTGTCAGTAACACAGCAACACAGTTTTATGGTTGTTTGTCAGTTCACTTTCTCTTGCCAGTAACTCAACAACACAGTGGTGAAGTTTGTCAGTTCCCTTTTCCATGTCATAAACTCAACAACACAGTGGTAAAGTTTCTCAGTTCCCTTTGTCCTGTCAGTAACACAACAACACAGTTTTATGGTTGTTTATCATTTCCCTTTGTCCTGTCAGTAATCAACAAAACAGTGGCAGAGTTTCTCAGTTCCCTATGTGCTGTCAGTAACTCAAAACACAGTGGTAGAGTTTTTCAGTTCACTTTGTCTTGTCAGTAACACAATAACACAGCGGAAGAGTTTCTCAGTTCACTTTGTTCTCTCAGTAATTCAACAACACAGTTTTATGGTTGTCTGTCACTACCCTTTGTCCTGTTAGTAACTCAATAACTCAGTGGTAAAATGTCTCAGTTCTCCATGTACTGACAGTACCACAACAACACAGTTGTATGGTAATTTCTCAGTTCCCTTTGTTCTGCCAGTAACAGAGCAACACAGTTTTATGGTTGTTTGTCAGTCACCTTTGTCCTGTCAGTAATCAACAACACAGTGGCAGAGTTTCTCAGTTCCCTATGTGCTGTCAGTAACTCAACAACACAGTGGTAGAGTTTTTCAGTTCACTTTGTCTTGTCAGTAACACAATGACACAGCGGAAGAGTTTCTCAGTTCACTTTGTTCTGTTAATATTTCAACAACACAGTTTTATGGTTGTCTGTCACTACCCTTGGTCCTGTTAGTAACTCAGTAACTCAGTGGTAAAATGTCTCAGTTCTCCATGTCCTGACAGTACCACAACAACACAGTTGTATGGTAATTTCTCAGTTCCCTTTGTCCTGTCAGTAACAGAGCAACACAGTTTTATGGTTGTTTGTCTGTTACCTTTGTCCTGTCAGTAACTCAATTACACAGTGGTAGAGTTTCTCAGTTTCCTATGTCCTGTTAGTAACTCAACAACTCAGTGGTAAAATGTCTCAGTTCTCCATGTCCTGTCAGTTCCACAACAATAAAGTTGTATGGTATTTTCTCAGTTCCCTTTGTCCTGTCGGAAACACAGCAACACAGTTGTATGGTATTTTCTTAGTTCCCTTTGTCCTGTCGGTAATATTTCGACGGTGTTCGAGAAGAATACAAAACACTAAATCCGACAGGTGTGATTCCTGTTGAAGTAAACGACGTTGCTTTTTCCTTGCACGTGACATTCACGTCATTTGTTCTTGTGTTTCAGTGTATTTGCTACGAAAAGGGAAATCAGAAAATGTCGTGGTTAATTAAGTTTGGTTTAGGCGTAGTGAGTTTTGGTTCCTTCGTTTACGTAGTAGTCATTGTTTTAGAACTAGTAAAGAATCAGCCATGGCTGAATTTTTTATATTATCTTTCATATATTAAATTAGCCTCAACCCTCACAAAATACACGCCTCAGGCCTACTTGAACTGCAGGCGGAAGTCTACCGAAGGCTGGAGTATCGTGTTAGTGTTGATGGACGTGACAGGTGGATTTCTTAGTATTGGTCAGATTCTTCTTGTGGAATACAACTACAATGTCTGGAAGTCTATATTTGGTAACTTTGCAAAATTTGGACTAGGGGTCGTATCAGTTTCATATGATGTCCTGTTTATGATTCAACACTACTGCTTGTACAGGGAGAATTCTGAAGAAGAATATCACCGTCTACCCGAAGGAGGACATGAAACTGTCGAGCTCAGAACACCTAAAACATAAACCTTCAAAAAACTAAACAATAATAATTCTAGGAGTACTCGTCGTTATAGTATTTAATGAGGGACAAATCTCCTTGTGAGAAAATTTTATTTATTCTTGACCAATATGTGGATATTTTGAAATGAATAGCAACTATTATCCGATAAAAAATATAATTGTTCATGTATATCTTTGTTTACCTATCAGGTAAGTCTATTTATTATTTTAATTATTTAGTTACGGTAAAAAAAATTAATGCAAGTGAATTTCCTAACACGAAAGTGATATTTTATTTATACCTGAATTCGAAATGTATTTATTATAACCTTTTCCATATATATATGTCTATATATATACATGTATGTATCAATAATATGTTCAAGATTTGTGGATTTGTTTTTGTTTTGAGTCATTCACACTCTTGAAGTTAAATAAAATCTAATAGTTCGAACTATATTAGTGATATTAACTGTAATGTCTAGCTGTAGTAGTAACATTATAACTAAACTCTTTATTAGTGATATTAACTATAACTACTAGCTGTAGTAGTAACATTATAACTAACAACTTTATTAGTGATATTAACCAAAACTATTAGCTGTAGTAGTTACATTATAACTAACAACTTTATTAGTGATATTAACTATAACTATTAGCTGTAGTAGTTACATTATAACTAACATCTTTCTCAAGTCTGTCAGGTATTTAGGTATGTGAATAACGTTGTGACATTTCGTGGAATTCATTATTCGACATGATACAGTGGATCAACTGTTTAATGATTATATATATATTATGTTAAATATTTCTCTTCATCAGAGGTGAAAAAAGAAAATATTTCAACATACATATATATATTCATGAAACAGCTTTGTATATGTTTTAACTATGATGATGGTGACGATAACACAAGAAACAAAATATTTTATCATTTAACTTTTTTATTTACAAAGAAACAAAAAGCATTGTCTGATATAATCTCAAATCTACAGGTCTTAGTCTTAGTTATTTAATTTGGTATTGAACTACAGTAAAATAGCTGATTGGTTAAGACTTACTAGTTTGAACGAATCAAATCTGTAAAATATAGCCAATCATTACTGTTAATCAAACCATATTTTTAAAACTAATATTAATAATAGTTTTAAAATGAATTTTTACTATAACAGGTAAGTTTTATAAATCGAATTGCTTGTCTAAACTATATAATACGATGTTAAGAATAAAGAAACAGAAATATTCACACTACAATCTAAACAGTCACGCATTTTACAACGAGTAGGTTAGTTATAATGTTACTACTACAGCTAGACGTTACAGTTAATATCACTAATATAGTTGTTAATTATAATGTTACTACTACAGCTAGACGTTACAGGTAATATCACTAATATAGTTGTCAGTTATAATGTTACTTCTGGAGCTCGTAGTTATAGTTAAATGTCCCAATTTCACAGATTTCATTCTAAAACACACTAACCTAACTTCGCCATTCGAGGTATAAAACGACCACCCTGACCTCGCAACGAGATACATCGGTTAATAGGCATATATTGACATGGATATTTTAGTCAGCTCTCCTTTTCTTTTCAGTAACTGAACAACACGGTGATTTGGTAGAGTTTGTAATTTCCTTTCGTCCTGTCAGTAACTCAAAAACACAGCGGTAGAGTTTCTCAGTTCACTTTGTCCTGTCAGTAACTCAACAACACAGTGGTAGAGTTTCTCAGTTCTCTATGTCCTGTCAGCAACACATCAACACAGTTTTATTGTGTTCTGTCAGTACCATTTGTCCTGTCATTAACTCAACAACTCAGTGGTAGAATTTTTCAGTTCCCTATGTCCTGTCAGTAACACAACAACACAGTTGTATGGTATTTTCTCAGTTCCCTTTATCCTTTCAGTAACTCAACAACACATTCGCAGAGTTTCTGTGTTATTGAGTTCCTGACAGGACATAGGGAACTGAGAAACGCTACCGCTGTGGTATTGTCTTGCTGACAAGACAAAGTGAACTGAGAAACTCTACCACTGTATTGTTGAGTTACTGACAGCACATACGTAACTGAGAAACCCTACCAATGTGTTGTTCAGTTACTGACAGGACAAAGGGAACTGAGAAACTCTACCGCTGTGTTATAGTGTTACTGACAAGACAAATTGAACTGAGAAACTCTACCACAGTGTTGTATAGTTACTGACAGGACAAACAAAACTGAGAAACAACTGAGATTCCCATTGTCCCTATCTTCTATCTAGCGAAACCACAGCCAATGGAACGTGCTTGGAGAAATCATCGGGGAACTGACAGGACAAATGGAACTGGCAAACAACCATAAATTTGTGTTGCTGTGTTATTGACAGGACATACGTAACTGAGTAAACCTACCACTGTGTTGTTGAGTTACTGACAGGTAAAAGGGAACTGACAAACAACCATAAATCTGTGTTGCTGTGTTACTAACAGGACAAAGGGAACTGACAAACAACCATAAATCTGTGTTGCTGTGTTATTGAGAGGACATAGGTAACTGGACAAACAACAATAAAACTGTGTTGCTGTATTACTGACATGACATAGAGAACTAAGAAACACTACCACTGTGTTGTTGAATTACTGACAGCACAAAGAGAACTGACAAACAACCATAAAACTGTGTTGCCCTGTTACTGACGGGACATAGGGAACTGAGAAACTCTACCACAGTGTTATTGAGTTCCTGACAGGACATAGGGAACTGAGAAACGCTACCGCTGTGGTATTGTGTTGCTGACAAGACAAAGTGAACTGAGAAACTCTACCACTGTATTGTTGAGTTACTGACAGCACGTACGTAACTGAGAAACCCTACCAATGTGTTGTTCAGTTACTGACAGGACAAAGGGAACTGAGAAACTCTACCGCTGTGTTATAGTGTTACTGACAAGACAAATTGAACTGAGAAACTCTACCACAGTGTTGTATAGTTACTGACATTACAAACAAATCTGAGAAACAACTGAGATTCCCATTTTCCCTATCTACTATCTAGCGAAACCACAGCCAATGGAACGTGCTTGGAGAAATCATCGGGGAACTGACAAGACAAAGGGAACTGACAAACAACCATAAATCTGTGTTGCTGTGTTATTGACAGGACATACAGAACTGAGTAAACCTACCACTGTGTTGTTGAGTTACTGACAGGTAAAAGGGAACTGACAAACAACCATAAATCTGTGTTGCTGTGTTATTGAGAGGACATAGGTAACTGAGAAACTCTGCGAATGTGTTGTTGAGTTACTGAAAGGATAAAGGGAACTGAGAAAATACCATACAACTGTGTTGTTGTGTTACTGACAGGACAAATGGTACTGACAGAACATAGTAAAACTGTGTTGATGTGTTGCTGACAGGACATAGAGAACTGAGAAACTCTACCACTGTGTTGTTGAGTTATTAACAGGACAAAGTGAACTGAAAGTTCTACCGCTGTGTTATTGTATTACTGAAAGAACAAGGTGAGCTGAGAAACCCTACCACTGTGTTGTTAAGTTACTGACAGGACATAGGGAACTGAGAAACCCTACCACTGTACTGTGGAGTTTCTGACAAGACAAAATGAAATGAGAATATACGATACAACTGTCTTGTTGTGTTACTGACAGGACACTGGGAACTGAGAAATTATACCACTGTGTTGTTGAGTTAATGACAGGACAAAGGGTACTGACAAACAACCTTAAAACTGTGTTGTTGTGTTACTGACAGGACATAGAGAACTGAGAAACTCTATCACTGTGTTGTTGAGTTACTGACAGGACATAGAGAACTGAGAAACTCTATCGCTGTATTGTTGAGTTACTGACAGGACAACAGGAGCTGAGAATTCTACCACTGTGTTGTTGAGTAACTGACAGGACAAAGGGAACGGAGAAATTTACCACTGTGTTGTTGAGTTACTGACTGGACAAAGGGTACTGACAATCAACAATAAAACTGTGTTGCCGTGTTACTGAAAGGACATAGAGAACTAAGAAACACTACCACTGTGTTGTTGAGTTACTGACAGGACAAAGTGAACTGAGAAACTCTACCACTATGCTGTTGAGTTACTGACAGGACAAAGAGAACTGACAAACAAACATAAAACTGTGTTGCCCTGTTACTGACAGGACATAGAGAACTGAGAAACTCTACCACAAGTACCCTTTGTCCAGTCAGTAACTCAACAACACAGTGGTAAATTTCTCCGTTCCCTTTGTCCTGTCAGTTACTCAACAACACAGTGGTAGAATTTCTCAGTTCCCTAGATCTTGTCAGTTCCAAACCAACACAGTTTTATGGTTGTTTGTCATTTCCGTTTATCATGTCAGTAACTCAACAACCCAGTGGTAGAATTTCTCAGTTCCCGTTGTCCTGTCAGTAACTCAACAATACAATGGTAGAATTTCTCAGTTCCTTATGTCCTGTGAGGAACTCAATAACACAGTGGTAGAGTTTCTCAGTTCTCTATGTCCCGTCAGTAACAGAGCAACACAGTTTTATAGTTGTTGTTCAGTTCCATTTGTCCTGTCAGTAACTCAACAACATAGTGGTAGAGTTTTTCAGTTCACTTTGTCCTGTCAGTAACTCAACAACACAGTGGTAGTGTTTCTTAGTTCTCTATGTCCTGTCAGTAACACAGCAACACAGTTTTATTATTGTTTCTCAGTTCCATTTGTCCTTTCAATAACTCAACAACACATTGGTAGGGTTTCTCAGTTACGTATGTCCTGTCAGTAACACAGCAACACAGATTTATGGTTGTTTGTCAGTTCCCTTTGTCCTGTTAGTAACACAGCAACACAGTGGTAGGTATTCTCAGTTCCCTATGTCCTGTCAGTAACACATCAACAGTTTTATTGTTGTTTGTCAGTTCCCTTTGTCCTGTCAGTACCACGACATCACAGTTGTATGGTATTTTCTCAGTTCCCTTTGTCCTGTCAGTAACAAAGTGGTAGGGGTTTCTCAGTTCCCTTTGTCTTGTCAGTAGCACAAT